CAGAATATTGCATGATACTAGTTTGCTTAGTTGACATCTGTCTCAAGTTATTTTATAGGGTCCTATCTTGCTTTAAATGTAGCATGTGCCTTCTATCTATTGAACTAATAACGCTTCCACTTGACGTGACAATCTATTTTTCTGACCTCGCCCCAAACTCTGCTAAGACCTAAGAGCGACCATACTTATGGTCTACACTCGGTGTTATAGCCTTTTGAGTTGAAAGTCTACGTGAGCAAAACTGGCATCGAGTTTAAGATATTTCAGTATATGAAATTAAATAATCCTTAAATTATCTTATACCACTTCGGGATTCAAGCACTCTTACTGTATATCCTCTGGTAATTTCTAAGCTTTATCATTCAATAAACCTTTCCCAAAGTCAAATCTTAGTCATTAATGTATCCTTGATCCAAGCTGACACACTCCTTGATTGACTAGATTTCCTTCCAATAATAATGTATAGCCTAATATATAAAGTAGTTTATCCGCAGTGCTTTGATTGAACTTAAGATTACTTTCAATATCTATTTGGTAAAACATATAGCCAAAATTCAAGGAAGCCTTAGACAATTAGTAAGATTGTATCTATTATGACACCGATAAGGAAGACATGATATAAGGGAATATGGTCAGAAATAAGGCGCTACTATTTTGCTGTAATATAGATGCCATTTGCATGTATGGGATGAATGAAAGAGTATGAGGGGCTGGAACAAGTCAACCAAGGGAGATTGCTGGAATTGCGGGACCACATGGAGGAAGAGAGTCTTAGTGGTGGTATGTAAAAAGGTTGGGTGATGCCGTTGAGAAGTCATTTCAATTGATAATTCTAACTATAATTCTTTGGTTGAAGTAAATGGAGGCCCCTGATTGGCGACAGTTAATTGAATTGTAATAAGGCTAAATGTGCCAATCTGAAGGGATGGCTTAAAACGACTAGCCAGAATTGATTGTTTGAGAGCGGGATAAATTAGCATGATTAGCATACAAAGACTGTTGATATGCATCTGCAAATATTGCGCGAAAGATCGTAAAGGAAGTATGGATAGGACACCACAGGCCCATTCAGTAAGGACAAATGCATACCAATTTATTTTGCGGAATTATCTAACCATTTAAGTATCAGAATTCGGGATTTAAGTAACCTTAAATAATATTACAATAATTTAGCCTCTCTGAGTCAAACAAGTATTATTCAAGACTTGCAATTACTGTTTATTAAGCCCTTTTCTTTGAACTAAAAGTGGGCTTTACTTGAAATATGTGAAAAATGCTAGCACATTAGAACTACGTCTGACTTGCATAAACTATTATGTTCATTTTTACTAATTTTATGACTTAATGAAATTTTTTCTTCTAATTATATCTGCCTCATTTGTCCAAGCATGGCCTATACAAAAAACCTATGAATTTTACAACAAACTGCAAATATATCGATAATGTTTACCTCAGATATAAGTATTTTAGAAGATTTATGACTGTAAGTATACAGCTCATAGAAATGCGCAGCACCTCTCGGACATGGAAAATGACATCTTGGTCAAGTACAAAGGCTATATGATCAAACAATTCCGAAAATGCTTTTGATGGCAAATAAGATTTGTTAACAGTCTATAAGCTCTACTTATATACGTAAACGATTCTTATAACCGTAATGTAAAATGCAAAGGCAGAAAGAATAGAACACAATATTAAGAAGTAAAAATTTTAAAAGAAAAAATCAGATCACAAGTTTATGTATAAACCTTACTTATCATTACTTTACAACGTAAGCTTGAAAAACATTTTATTCGGATAGGTCCAAATTGTTTTAGTAATTAGATTGCAGGCGTCTCTTCGTTTACGTTACTAAAATGGTAAGCCGCTCAATATGTTACTCGGCCTAGTCTGTAATAGGAAAGGCAACTCCTTCAAATCATTTAGCACCCAAAAAAAAGGTTGAACCTTATGGCAAAAATCAAGGCAAAAGTGAAATATCAGATGAGCAGAGGCAGGAAATAAAGGAAGCGTTCGAGCTTTTCGATACAGAAAAGTCCGGTACTATTGATTCAAAAGAACTAAAAGTGGTAATGCGCGCACTCGGATTTGAGCCTAAAAAAGAAGAAATAAGAAAGCTCATTTCTGAATATGATTTTGAGGGGAAAGGTATTTGTTACAATCATCCAATACATAGGTCAAATTGAGTATTCGGACTTTCTAAAGATGATGACAATAAAAATGCAAGAAAAAGATGCAAAGGAGGAAATA